CTTGGTCAATCGCATATTTCTTTCCTCTTATGGGGACCTTGTGAGGTAGACTGTTTCTTTTCCCAATTATTTCAGGCTCAGCATGGCCAATAATGATTTCTTGTGCTTATTAGGACCATTAAGGTTTGCCCCTTCATCAAGTAACCTATCTAAATTTGATTTCATTAGTTTCCTGACCCGTACTTCTCTGACCACAGCTCCGACTACTGGTACTAATACCCCCTCCTCGATGTCAACTGACCACCCATCAAGGTCATTACTCAACCTTCTGAATGCACCCTTCCCTCTCTCCTAACATTTTGAACTCAGTCCCCTACTGTACAGTCTCCTCCTTTCCTTGGTCATAGAGAAACGGCTTTTTAATATTTTTAATTTGTGAACATTAAGTATCGGTTATACATGTACTAACTGGTATTGATATCCCTTTAACTGTCTTCGAAGAATCGATGTATTGGAATCGCTGCAAGTATCTGTGTCGCCTTTGACAATTCTGTGTATCGATGCCCATGACTGCACATTAATCCGCGATCCACTGTAGTTGTAGTCCCGTGATACCGAAAGTCTTCACAATTCCCACCGAGACGCCTCTTCTCTCTCGATATGTAAATATGGCGAGAGAAGCAGCACTGTTATTGTTTTTTCTTGACACATTATTTATTGCCTTTAGAAGACCGAAGAAAGAAAGCAACCAACGCGATTGTGGTTTCCACGGTAATTTGATAGGAAAGACCATAATGTGTTAAATAACAAGAGAAACCGTGTATAACTGCATATCAAAACATTTTGATAATCAATGAAATAATTGGTAACTTATTTCATAGTTAAATTTTGATTAGCATATTCGTAGTGACATACTGATTGATAGCTTATGGCAAAATGTTGCTTGAGTATTGCACAATAATTCAAAATGTTTGAGTATTACACAATAATTTGAAACCCCCCCCCACTAAATTCTGATGAAACTCCGATTAAAGAAAAACATAATTGTAATTGTGGTTTTGTTTATCGACTCATGTTTATGAATAATATATTATAAAAATATATAATATAACAATATAATATAACCCTATACATTGCAGAACAGACTGGGGTCGTGGTCATGTCTGGAGGTGCATGATTGGGGTCGTCTGAAAAAAAGGGTTGGGAACCAGTGAAGAAGTGTGTCCACGGCTTAAGACAGACGAGCAGACAGATTTCAGTAGCCATATTTTGTTGGCTTAATGTTAAAACAGATATTGTCTACATTTCGGGGATACCTTTCCAAGCTAGTTATTGAAGGCCAATATTTCCCAAGCCAATTATAAAGAATGGAAAAGTGAGAAATCCCAGCCAACTTCTGAATCTTACGAAAAGAAATGGAAAGATCAATAAAAAATATGCCAACTTTAAAATTCAGTTCCTAGAGAGAGTGAGCTATTGAAAAGGCCGAAACGTTAGATGATATTGGTGATTCGAACTAGTGTTAGGCGGAGGACTCGAAAATAACTACATTTCTTTTTTAAAAGAGACGAATTTATTCTGCGTATAATGAACACAAAATGCATTTACAATGTTTTCCTGCATATACCAAGTTTCTGCCAACAATGAGTCCGCCATAAGGCTTCCCGTAAACCACAGTAGCTGAAACAGCGTGACATCAACGATTGCCGCCCACGCCGCAAATCATGGGCGGTTTTGCGTACAGCAAACGAAATTCAGTAATATGGTAACACTGAAGGCAGATCCGGGAGGCGAAACAACCACCCCTTTATACTTGCAATCCTCGCCTCCGAGCCGGCAGTCCCAACACCTTCACTGGCATTTTCGACCACGGCAACGCCACGCGTACAATATTCACAAATCAAAGTACCGGTGTCATGACTAAGATAGTCATGAGGCAGATAATATACTTAGAAAGTTATTGCTGCAAATCTATATCACACAAGGAGGTACTTAAAATAAATGACAAACTGAGCAATATCTGTCCGTCTTACCTTTCTCCTACGCTTACTGCAGTAGTAATGGATGATGTTCATCCACACAAGTGACATATTGCCGGTAGTCGAAGATCTAGTAGGTGAAATTAAGGGTGCTTCCAAATGATAGGGCGGCGAAGGTAGAGCAACGAGGCAGTGGTAGACAGGGATGTGGGCGGTCGCGAGGGAACGAGCTCGGGGGTGTCCGTACTTCCTCGGGTTACAGCCACCCGTACGAGTGTGGCCGCGTGAGGCGCCTCCCTCTGACGTTGGCGAAGTAAGGTCGCTCTGACTTTTGTCAAGAGGAGGAAGGAGGCTCCACTTCAGGTTGTAACACACTTACATAGACATTCCTTGTTCCACATTGACTTTTTCGGTTCTAAAGGAGCAATCAAACCAGCACAACAATCTTTTCCAGTCCATGCAAATTAATTATTCACGTCACATTCACTGAAATTAAGCTGGTCATGGTCGTAACATGAAATCAAGACTATCATTGACGTAAGTTTCTCATCCAAACTACGAGTAATTTCATTAGCAGTACC